ATAGATTTCCACTCAAGTCAGGCCGACTGCAGTGCTGTCATTTTCCCAGGCCGGGACTGCCCACACTGCGGCAGGTTCTGTCTGCAGGGTGTCTGAATTACAGCAGGCTCTGTCCCGCCACCTCTTACACAAATTACTTACACTGGTTTCTTTTTCCATGCAAATTCATCAGTTTTACAGCCCTCGTAGCCGCAGTCAGGAAACTCTGGCAGAGCACAAATTGATAAAATGAGTTAATTTTACTATACTTACATATTTTTTTCCTTCTAAAAGCCCTCTTTCATAGGCAGTGCTCAGGAAGCATATTACAGTAAAAGGAAGATAACAAAGGAGTTGGATTTTCTTGCCATAAATTACTTTCCAAGTTAATTCCCTTTAACGATGATTCCAGATTTGCTTGAGTTTTCATAGCATTGTACATTTTACAACTGTGCCTTTGATAGAAGAAGAACAAGTATTTTCCCATGTTCGTTCCTTTTGTGCCAGTGACACGGACTTTCTTACAAGATCTCTGCCTCCAGAATGCAAAACAACACTGAATTGTTCCAGCGCGGGAGCTGCCGGCTGTGCTCACCCTGCCTCCCGCCCCCCACACCGCCAAGCGCCTGCTCGGGAGTCTCCACAGGAGCTGGGATCCTGCAACCTGCGGAAAAACACAGCCCAGGGTTCCGGGGTTGCGTTCTCGGTAGCCGTGGGGTGCTGAGCAGTGGTCATCTGTGGGGGATCTGTGGCTGTCACCCCATCTTCTCCGGTGCCCACGTGGACTGAGGGGCCCACAGCTGAGCCCCGGAGTGGAAGCCCCACGCAAGTGTGCCGGCCACCTGCCTCCTGCTGACACTTCCTGTGGAATGAGCCCTGCGTGGCGAGCGAGTCGGAACCAGGTGAAGGAGCCTCTCGGGCTGGCTGTGTGCATTCACGGTGGGCTGGACACTCTGGTCAGCTGGTCAGCAGGCCCATGGCCCCTGTTGAACCAGTGCACACTTGGCACTGTCCTCTCCCGAGCAGAGTCTTGGAAATTTGGATGGAATTCGTTTCCCGTCATCCTCTCTTCCCAACAGTGTGAGCCGAGCACTTTGGTGGATGGCGGAAGTTCAATAACCACAGCCTTCTCCAGCTGCTAATGTGCACAGGAGAGCAAGTCATTAAGAGGGCTGGCCACTCAAGGACCCTTCTCCCACCAGCCCACAGTACCACAGTGATTCCTTAACAGTGAGCCATTTATTGAAAATGACACGAAGAGGTTACCCTGCTGGTGACAGGGAAGTGGGGGGCGAGTGACTTAGAAACGGCATCTGAAGACAGAGTTCGCAGAAGTCAACCTTTGGGACAGCTCCTCGGGAGCTGTGCGCTCGGCCTGAGCGGCCGCTCCAGTGCCAAGACACGGAACTCAGCCACTGCTCACACATATATACTGGGTTCCGGGCTTCATTTGCACGGTTCGGAGGTCAGGGCTGAGGAGAGCCGCGTGCTGTCTGTGACTCAGTCTGTGTATGACCCTCAGCTGTGGACACAGACCTGCACACAAAGCGGGTGGATGTCACGGGGCAGGCAGCAGAAAGGAAGGGCAGTGGCCAGGTCCGTCCTCCTCAGCACCCACAGGGGCAGGGGCTGTGTGACCCCTGCAGACACCAGAAGGCCAGTGTGTGTCCCCAGGTCTGGGTGGCCTTGGGAAGGTCACTTAGCTCCTGGCCACTGCAGCTCACTCTGTCACGGGGAGAAGACTTGAAAGCTGCCCTTCCCAGAGTGCCCTGTTGTATTTCTCTGGCAGTTTTGTTTGCTAGGGGAGTGTGACCACTTACGGGCTATACCCAGACACTGTGCGCAGCTGGGTCTGTTAGCTGCTGGCTCTCCCAGGTCGGAGTCCCTTGTTCAGAGTCCATTCTCTTTCTTGAAGAATAATGTACATGGTATGGTGTAGGCCAGTTCCCTCTCAGGGATAACCCCACATTCCCTCTGGCTGCACCAACTGCCATGGCCCACCTGCTCTGCTCGGAACCTGCACCTCCTTGCACTGCTGCCCCCGCCCGACCTCCTCCTGGCTGGAGCTGTGACCCCAAATGTCCTGCACAGTCTCGGTGTTCCTCCTGGGAGACAGCGTGCATGCCCATCACCTTGGGTATTTGGGTGCTTGGCTAGTGTCCGTTTGGGGGGGCTCTCAAGTTTAAGACGAGTTCTGTGTAGTCCATGTGCCACGATGGTGGAAGCATAGAAATCCTTGGAATTAGAGCTCTTAACACATTTCTGCCTTCCTTTAAATGAGAACAGCCTGGTCAATCTCAGACTTAGTTTTTCTCACCTAGAAAAGGTGCTTTCCCGAGAAGGTTGTCCTGAGGATTCAGGAGGCACAGTTAACACAGTGCCTGTCAAAGTACAGCTTCCTGGGCCCGGCCACAGCCCTCCTGCCTCACTGCAGGACACCGACAGGCCCCTTGCTCACACAGAGGCCTTTCTGGGCCCTGGCAGGTTCCCTCTGGCAGTTGACCCTGCGTGGGCTCCAGGTAGCAGACCTGAGGGTGCCACCAGGACCTTGAAGGTTGTGTCTCATCGGGATCCTTGAATCCAGGTTGTAAGGCTGACACTCGATCTCACTGCAGAAACTCAGGATGTTCTGAAGTTCACAGCCCTCACAAACCCGCCTGCCATTCAGTCCGGGCAGTGGCACATGGGACATGAGCAGACAGAGGGCAGGCTAGGGACACGAGTGAGGCTACTCCTGTTGGAACCCGTGAGGCACTGCGTGCTCTCTGCACGGGGCTCCATGAGGACACTCCAGTGAAGGCTCTTCCTGGATGGACCGCATAGCTACGGGACCCTCAGGTCACCTTGCTCCTCACCTTCCAGGAGCAGGGAGCCCTGCCACCTTCTCACACCCCTGAGGCCACAGGCGGTGGATGCTGCCGCCCGGCCCCGCCCTCTGGCTAAGGAGAAACGGGACTGTGGGCCAGGACTTGTCCTGCAGAGACCGTGACACCTGCCCGATGTCAGTACTGTCTCTCAGAGAACACAAAACCAAAGAGGAAACCGTGCGAACCCGGTTGACATGTGAGGCCCATGGAGGGATGAGCCTCGTCCGTGCCAGGCCGTTCTGTTCAGATTCAGCGCCTCCATCCAGGACAGCCTGGGATTCAGAGGGGCGCTGGAAGCCTAAACTGAGTCTCAGCATTTTCTTCCTGTCGGAGGTGCCTGCTTCCAGCCTGTGGGCGATGTTCGAGCCACTGCCATCCCTCAGGTAGCCTGGTGCCTGTCCCCAGAAGTGGCTGTGTTCCTGGGTCCTCTCCTGACCCTGGGGTCCCCTGGGGCCCCCGCACCCATCCGGTGGTTACCTGGTCGGTAGTCAGACTCTGCGCAGTGACCCCCAGTAGCGCCCAGGGCCCCTTTCTGCCCCCTTCGTTGCCGCCCTGCCCTGCCCTCAGGTTCAGGTGCTGCCCGAGAGGGCGGTGACATCTCCAGGTGGGAAAAGCTCCCTTGCTGATGCAGCACCCGCACCCACCACTCGCCTTGGGCTGGTGAACGGTGCTCGGCCCACACTTGCTGGACACCCAGGGCCAGGGTCGGGCGCACAGCCTGACCCTGTATCTGTCACCGCCCTGAGAGTGGAGTGCAGTGCGTGCTGGGGTAGCTGGATTTGAAGCCACATCCCTCTGTCTTTTGGGTCCCCTGTGACCCGGCCTTCACTACACTCTTCTCCCCTGCTTCAGGGGACAGCACTGCAGAGGGCGGAGACCTGGCCTCCCTGTCCTCACCTGAGCTCCACTCAGCACATGGTGGCCCTGGCTCCCAGTGTGCATGCCTCCCATGCCTCCCAGCCGTCTCTGGGCTCAGCATCGCGGTTTGGGGCCTGGCACGCCCTGGGCCAGGGGTGCTGATCTTTCCAAGTCTGAGTGCCACCGGTGCGCCACCACCGCAGACCATGTGGCCCCCACTCCTAGGCCGTGGTCCATCTGGAATCGGCCACGAGAGGGTCGCAGCCCGGCTACCGGCTCCTGGGGGCGTCCCCTCCGAAGCCGTGGGTGGGTGGGCACCATGCTTCGCGGCAGTGCCTCCCTCTTCTGCCGCCACCTTAGGGATGTCGGCTCCCGGAATCAGCACCCATGGACCCCTGTGCCTGCCCTGCTCCTGACCCTTTGCTCTGAGGGTGTCCACTTTTATATGTGAGTGTGCACTCCGCACTTCTGTGCGTCCCGCAGGCCTCGGTCCGGCCACCATATGCTGACAGGCACATCTGCTCCTGAGCCTAGAGCACCTTCGTGAGACTTATTTTCACCATTGTTGTGCCACCAGCACTTGAAGACTTCTCTCATAAGATCAGTGGGTGCTCTTTGTTCATTAAGAAATGTTTTGGAAGCTGTCACAGGCCAGGCATCTAGAGGCTTGGGATATAGAATGCAGGGAGTCGCAGCTCTCCAGGAGCCTGCTCTGAAGGTCCCATGTCACCAGTGTGGGCTGGGCTACATCCTGCGGGGGCCACGCGGCCCTGCCGCACCTGCTCCCGCTGAGTGGCGTGTGGAGCCATCACGGCGGTGTCACGTGTGGGTCTGCCGTCGGTCCAGAGGGTGGCTGGGGCCGTGAGTGACCGGGGAACACAGGAAGCAAAGGTGTGGAGGGTGCGGGCCTTTCTAGGTGAGGAAAACCACGCTTCCTTCCCTGGGGATTGGGCGAGGAATTCCCTCTCAGCACATTGGGAACAGAACCCCAGGGTACAGGCGAGGAGAAGCTGCTGAGCTCAGGCGAAGTTCAAGGTCCCAGGAAGTTTCGGCCGGAAAGGAGAGGCGTTTCGCTCCAGCTGAGGAGTGAGTGCTGTGGCCTTGGGGAGGAGCAGGTGGCTGGAAGGAACTGTCTTTCGGGCACAGACTTGTCCTCCGGCACTCCTCTGAAGTCAGAGCTGACTGACTGTGTGGGGCAGCTGTGAGACGCAGAGGTGCCGGGTGCGCCGAGGAGTGGCCCTCATGGTCTGCTCCGGAGCTGAACTGACGTGTCTTCCTTTTTGTTTCTCATTCTAGCACCGATAGCTGCAGGAACTGGCCCCAATTTCTCCCTCTCAGACTTGGAAAGCTCTTCGTACTACAGCATGAGCCCAGGAGCCATGAGGCGGTCGCTGCCCAGCACATCCTCCACGAGGTAACCGAGCCACGCCACACCTGTCCCTACCTGTGCAGGTGGGCGCAGTGGCGTGGACCCATCCTGTGGACAGGGCTGGCGAAACAGGCCTAGACCCACTCGCTACTGGTGTCATGGGGAGAGGAAGCGAAGGTCCAAAGACACATGGCCGCATAGGCCACACGCTCACACGTCCCAGACGGCTGAAGTCAGGGAGCGCATGGTGGGTTAACAGCGGTTTCAGAGGCTTCATCCGCAGTGCCCTGTACTGGGGGTGCCAAGGAAGAAGGATGCTGGGGTGGGGCTGCGAGGGAGGTGTGTGCCAGAAGGGAGGACACCTTGACTCCCGGGCAGGAAGTGGACCCTGGGGACAGCAGTCTGGGCCCTGCCCGCAGCTGTCGGCGTGGTTCAGTCCATCCCACTCTGCCAAGACCCCAAGGTTGGGGCTCCCCAAAGACAAAACTGCTGAGGTCATGAAAGGCATTCAGCCAGTACCACTCTGTCCCTGGGTGACACAGGGACCCTAGGAAGAAGCCGGGGTGTGGCTGGGCCACTGCCTGGCTCCTGCTCCAAGCTCAGGTCTCAAAGCCAAACTGCGGGGCTGTGGAACAGACAGCCTGAGCCAGGGCAAGGGTCAGGCAGGAACGCCACGGTGTTCTCTCACAAACTGGCTTTGGCCTTGGACCAGGACAGCACAGAGGGGCAGGCAGAACTATCTTTCACATCTATATACTTTGCAGAACAACTTTCATCAAAGTCCGTTTCTCCTGAAGCAAGTCTGGAGCTTTGTGATTTAGAAGGAAGCCGGGATTACTGATGTTTTCTGGGCTTCGTCAGCAGCGTTTTAAACATCATTAACTTGAAAACATCTACCCAGTCATTTCAAGCACCTCGAAGGCTGTTAAAGAACCCCTCCCCAGATAGAACCCCAGCCCTGCCACCCTCATGGCGGAGACGGCGTGGACTCTGCCGGCAGCCTGCAGGGCTTCAGGGTCCTTTGGGCAGCGAATGGCCTACCCGTTCAGGGCTGCTTGTTTTTCTGTGTGCTCCCCAGCCGGAGCCCCGCTGGCCCCGGCCCCCCACCCTGACTGAGCCCGTCTGCGGGCCTCACAGCCGCGTCAGCAGCGTGCTCTGACCCCCAGCCTGCTGAGGAGCTCACTTCGAACGCCCTCCACAGTTAATCCCTGGGGGCGAGGTTCGTCCTGCTCTCCTCCGGCCCTTGCAAGGAGAATTTTTAGTGTTCCTCGGTTGCGGGGCTCAGCGGAGTTCTCTGTGTCAGACCAGAGCCCCAGATTCGCAGAGACCTTCCCTGCACAGTGGGCGGAGGCTCTGGCTTGGTGCTTCACAGCCCTATCTGGTCCATCTTTGTTGTGGGCTTGGGACAGAGGCTGCGCCACCCCGTGCTGCCCAGAGCGGCCACAGCCCAGGATACAACGTGTCACGTGCCGGCTCTGCCCTGTGGAGGCTCCGCGCCTGGTGTTTCACACGGGCTCCTCCTGGGGCCGGACCGACAGGAGGAGGAGGGAGAAGCGTGAGAAGGAGCGCCTGGCTCCTCCCTTTCCTGGGCGACAGCGCACGCCCCTGAGTTACCGCCCCTGCCCACCCGCACCCCAGCCCTGTGAGTGTAGGCGTGGGCGCCCCTGTGAGTGCCACAGTGCTCAGAGGGCCCTCGGCCAGGAAGGAGCCGGACAGGAAGGCGCCGCGTGGGTCCCAGGGTGCGGAGGAGTGGGCGTGTGAGGCCCCAGGTCCCACCTGGACTCAGGCAGACCTCAGCAGCTCAGCGCTGCTCCCACCTGGCTCCCGGAGAGCGGGTGAGAAACACGCACAGCCTCAGCCCCGAAGCACCATTGTGTCGCCCCCTCGGGAGGGACCCCCGTTATGGAAAGGTCTTGCTGCTGCTTGCTGTCCTCAGATGTTTCTGGAGAAAAAAACCAAGAGCAAGAGTAAGATCCGGGACCATTTGTTTCTGAAAGCAAGAACAGCAGTAAATGAGGGAGCTTGATAGTTGCTTTCCTAGGGTCTGCACTGCCTTGGGTCCAGCATCTTCAGACTCATGCAAAGAGCAGGGTAAAAAGCGGGATGGAATACATGTTTTTCCAAAGAAGGTAAAGCAGGTGTCAGGCTCGCGAAGACAGTGTCGTGATGTGGAACCGCTGCGGACCTCTCCCTTCCTCCGCCCTCGCCCGACTGTCCTCCTCTGTCCGACCTCAGCTCCCAGAGGCCAGGCTGCACTGGCCCACGCTGGCAGTCCCGGCCGCGTGATGGCGCCCGGCAGACGGTGGGTCGGCCCTGCGGGGTCCCTCATGGCGCTGTGAGGCCTGGGGGAGCCCTTGGCCGACTCTCTCCACTGCTTCGCAGCCAGTGCCCAGCCAGCAGGCTCTGGGCACTGATGCTAGCCAAGCCTGGGGGAGCCCTTGGCCGACTCTCTCCACTGCTTCGCAGCCAGTGCCCAGCCAGCAGGCTCTGGGCACTGATGCTAGCCAGAGGCTGTGGTTGGCACTAAGGATTAAAAATAACAATAATAGGCTTCACCCCCTCCTCAGAACATTCACGCCAGGCCTTTTCCTGCCTGGTACTTCAAGCAGTTTTTCTCCCTTCCTATTCCTCCTACTTCCAGGATAATTTCAAGTAGCTTGCAAATTTGAAACATGGCAGGAAGCGTCAGATACAGAAAGAGATCTGAAAACCATCCGGAAAGATAGGAGAGGGCTTTAAAGCAGGCAGCTGAGCAAAGAGTTACACCTTCCATGTGGCCCTGAGCTTCCCAGGTGGCAAGGCAAGAAGGGAAAGCAATAAGCTGTAGAATTTGCATATTCTAATGACGGGACAAATTCATGTAGAGAGGCTAGATGTTTCTGGTCGTATGCATTGGAAGGAAGTTTTTTGTGTTTACCCTCTTAGAACGAAAAGACTTCCATTAGATGCAGTTTTACATTAAATATAGAGAACTTCTTCAAGTGGCTCTTTGTGTATAATTTCGAGGACAGACAGACAGAAATGATTACTGAATTGGTCCTTGGCCCATGCTCTGGGAAGTCAGCCGGATACAGCTTCCCGAGGAGGCCAGTTCCCGAGAGCAGAACTCTGCAGCTCAGATGTGGCCAGTCACCCTCAGTGCGGATCCCTGCCTGCACTGGGTTGCTGCTCAGCCTTTGCTGTCCGGCCCACCGGCACGTATCTGCTCTCCTCTGCCCTCCCTGTCCACGCCGCAGGCCCAGCCTAGAGGGCCCCACTGCCTGGCCCCGCTGTGGGTGGCTGCAGATCCGCAGCACTTCCCTGCCCGTGCCGTACTCCGCCGCCTTCCCGGACTGGGCCTTCGTGTGGCTGCCAACCGGCTGGCTGCCCACACTCCGGCCTGAGTGGGCCACCGAGTCCCTGGGGAAGAGGCGTGGGCAGCTGGAGAGCCGTGCAGACTGAGCCGTGATTTGGGCCCTCGCCACCTCCAGTGGATTCCCTGCAGCTTAGCCAGGGGCCGCGCTGGCAAGGCCTGGAGGTGACTCTGTGGCCTAAGTGTGCACCATTGTCATTTCAGCTCCACGAAGCGCCTCAAGTCCGTGGAGGACGAGATGGACAGCCCTGGCGAGGAGCCGTTCTACACAGGCCAGGGCCGCTCCCCGGGCAGCGGCAGCCAGTCCAGCGGGTGGCACGAGGTGGAGCCAGGTGAGCAGCCGGCCAGCCGCGTGCGAGGGGAATCCTCGGGCACAGACACACTGTGGCCCGACGGTCACATGCAGGGAAGGGAGCAGTGCTGCGCACGGTTCTCCGGGAGTGCCGTACGGGTTTCCACTCATGGAGACCCTCCACACAGTGTTGCGTTTGATTCTGTTTTTGAGAAAGGCCCTGGCCATGTTCCCCAGGCTGACCTCGAACTCTTGAGCTCAAGTGATTTTCCTGCCTCAGGCTCCTAAGTGGCTGGGACTGCAGTATGTTGATTTTTACACATAACAACTTCCTATGTAGTTATTAAAGTTAATTTTTAGAAATCATGCCTTCGGGCCGGGGATTTAGCTCAGCGGTTCGGTGGCCTGCCTTGCAAGCACAAGGACCCGAGTTCAATCCCCGGTACCAAAAAAAAGAAAGAAAAAGAAATCATGTCTTAGACCCATCAGCCCTTCATTGGACTGGAGAATGAGTTCTTTGTGCTAGAGTTTGCACGTGGATTTCTTGGGCACACTTCGTGTGTGGTGCTTCCCTGTCTGAGTACCATCAGGATCATTTTGTTTGAATTCGAGAACTACCTGTGTGTCCCCTGCTCATCCGGGCCTCCGGGCCTCTCTCAGGGCCGAGGAACAAGAACAATTGTGAGTGGGCTTTCACTGCCTTGGTTGCCAGCTGCCCTCTGCGAGGTGACGTGCCCCAGGTGAGCCCCCTGGGCTCAGGGAACAGCCAGCCATGGGGATGACCCCGCCGGCTGAGAGAGTGGGCATCATTGTGGTGTGGAGGGCAGCACGTGTGATCTGGAAAGAGCCGAGCCCTTCCCGCCTGTCTTGTCTCCCTCGTGCCCCAAGATGGCTGTGGGGGACTTCGCCAGCCCTGTCCTCGGACCCCAGTGTCCTGCAGAAGACAGCGGCTGCCCCCCAGAACTGGAGGGAGTCTCTCAGGGTACCTGAGCTGGGCCTGCATGGGTTTCACATGCTCAGAAGTGTCTGCTACGCTATCAGAATTCAAAGCAAAGCCGGCAGAAGCCAAGCTCAGCCAGTCCAAGCTGGGCCTTTCACTTTGCAGAGCTTCCCGGGCTCTCCACCTGGCCTGGACCTTCACATCTGCATGGGGGCTGTCGGGCTGACGTCAGGCCCGATGCCAGGCCCAGGGACACAGGTGGAGCGGTGGCTCAGCCCTGCCCAGGAGGAGCTCAAGGCAAGGAGGAGGCAGTCAGCACGCTGTGCGGGACGTGGTATGTGGTGGCTCTGCTGTCACCTGTGCTGCACTCCACACCCACATCCACAGCGCTGTGGACACTGCCCAGCACTGCAGGGCAGAGTAGCACGGAGGTGCTAACCGCTCACTGCCGTGGCTGTGTCCTCCTGTGGGCACCAGGCCTTGCCTAGACTCTGGGTGCTGCAGCAGGGTGTGAGGGGTGCTGGGACAGTCAACTCTGACCCAGAGTCGCTCCTGCTCCTCTGTGATCGCGAGACAGGTGACCATCAGTTTTCACATCTGAGTACAGGACACTGTGCAGTCCTCAGTACCCAAAGTCGAATGGCTGAGCTCTCCTGGAGTGGCTGCTGGGGATCAAACTCAGGACCTTGCGCTTGACAGGCAGGTGCAGCACCACTGAGCTAAATCCCCTCCCATGTGGCTGCATCTTTTTAAAGAAGTCCCTGCAATTGTTACATGTGGGCCGCTGGTCCATGGTCCTCGTTCATTAAAGAAATGCAGCTTCGGTGCACGTTCACTGGGCCGGTGGGGCATGGAGGCTTTCACATCTGGCCATCAGCATGGAGAGTCCTCACGGAAACGGGGCCTAAGGGGACATTAACGCTCCACTAAAGGGCACCGCACATGCTCCTGGTGCCTGGTGTCGCCAATTCATACCAGCCACTCTCAATGTATAATTTATGCTGCCAGATGGTCCTTTTGGGGGCTTCCAGCAGACCACTCCCCTTGCTGGCACGGACAGCACCTTGTTTGTTTTTCCCACACTTGTCCTGGCTGTGCAGCCACTCCCCAGGGGTCGGTGAACTGAGGAGGAGGCTTTTAGTGGCTCACTCGAGTGAACTCCTCCAGACACACATGGGGAGTCACGGCGGGCTCGCATGTCTGCATTTGGGTAATTCTAGTGCAGTGCTAGGGACACGCTGTGTGCGCTGGGGCCAGGCCTGCGCCCTCTCCTGCCCAGAGAGCTGCACTGTGTGCTGCCTTCTCTGCCCCACAGCTCCCAGCCGAGAGGGTCAGGCCTGCTCGGGAAAGGGGCGTCACCTGGCGCACGGCAGACTGGACGGCAGTCAGTCACCTGCAGCACCCTGTCCCCGGTGGTGTGTCTCTGCGCAGTTCTTCCCGTCCGGAAAGTGCTGTTAGAGTAAAACATCAGACAACTCGGGCTCCCTCCTCCGTCGCTCACAACACTGCCTTCCACTTGGCTCCCTCGTTATTGCAAATCCAGGTTAGAGTCAGCTCTGAAGCTGATCAGGGTGCGCAGACAAGACGAGTCCTGCGCAGTCCTATCAAACGGAGGTGCACACACTGTCAGCTCTCATGTACCTTAGGAGTGAGGAGTCTTGGGACCGAGAGTGCAGGCAGAGAGGGAGCCTGCAGGTGGGCACCACCCGTGGGTCACACACTGTGCGACATATTCACGCGTGTGGAAAGATCCCTGTCACACATGAGCACCTACTGTGTGTTTCTTACAAATTAACCTCCTTAAACATGAGTCAGATGTGTGGGCTCTGCCTGCCCCTCCACGGCAGGACATGGAGGATGGGATGGCTGGGTGCAGTCAGTCTGTGCACCCAGAATCCACGCCCTCAAACCTGACTTAGGGCTGAGTTTTGTCTTCTCAGTAACCTCTTTTATCACAAATGGTTATGCTTGCATTTTAAGGTCTGTGTCCTGGACTTGTGTTCAGTTAGAGATCTGAAAATTCCTTTTTCTTAGCCCAAACCCTTGCCATGCAATTCATGCCAGAAAAGGCACATGGGCTACTCAGTACCCACAGGGCACCCTGTGTCTGAGCAGAGGGTCGTCACTGTTAACAAAGAGAGGTACCGCTCACTTTTCCCCCAAAATCACGTAATCCTCAGCACTTTAGGCCTCCCTGACCTCTCCTCTGTCATCTCATCAAGGAGACCCTGCTCTCCTTTCTTTATACCTCTCTCTACTGTCACTGTTTTATCCTTTGTGATGCACAGGTCACCAGAGGGGGATTTGGTCCATCTTTTCCTCCTGTGTCCCCAGCTGTGTCTTGCACATAATAGGTTCTCAATGAACCCCAATTGACGGGACAGGTGAAGCCTACAGCAGAGTCTGGGTGCTCTCAGTAAATGCGAAGGCAGAATTTGTTGCCAGTAATCCTCTCAGGGCTGCCATCCACTCTGTTTTTAATCTGTAGGCTTTTGATCAAATCTGTTATTGGAAAGTAAGTCTCACCCAAAGACGTGCTGGAAAGAGCGGGGCAGCAAACTGCAGCACAGGGCCTTGCCATACAGGGTCTTCCCCCAGCTTTACCACACTCTGCTTCAAGACGGTAACTCCCTGCCATGGGGAACAGCGGTTCCCCGAGGGTGGCAGAGTGGACAGAGGAGGCTGTGCTGGGGACCGCGCCCTGGTGAGTTAGGGCTCGGCGGTGGGGTGGCAGTGGAGGTGGCAGCACTGTGCTTAGGACCTTTTACTGATAAACTGATAAGGGTATAAATAGACTGAATATAGTACAGTAATCACAAATTTATGTGATTACATTAAAAGAAATTTATATTTGTGAATTTCTTTAAAACATTTTATACATAAAGGTAGCTGATTTGCAGAGTTAACAAAACATACTAAAAAAGACCAAGGGGCTGGGCGTGGTGGCGCACTCCTATAATCTCAGCACTTGGGAGAGGCTGAGGCAGGAGGATCGCTGTGAGTTCGAGACCAGCCTGGGCTACATAGTGAGTTTCAGGTCAGTCTCAACTACACAGTGAGACGCTGTCTCAAAAAAAAAAAAAAAA